ACCCTGGCTGACGTGTAAACGTAGCCAGGTGACGACCCGTGCTAGCCTCTGTGCAGTGCGTCACTCGCTGACTAGCAGGGGTGAACTGGTGGACTCCCGCATCCTGTAGGTCAGCACCACTCACCAAGTTCGTAGAGAACGAGGGTAGGTAGAGACCAGACAGGGTGCCAGAGGGAGCCGCCGGACACGGAAGGACTGTGGAGAAGCGAGACAGGACAGGACCCCCAGAGGGGTCAGCCAGGGAAACCGCAACCGGCCGACTAAGCGGCGTAAGTGTGGTGCGGTCCCGAAAGAAAGAGCGAGACGCTCCAGAGTCAAGAGTGAAGGTGTGGGAGGCCGAAGCCCACGCAGTACCTGAGAGCGCAGACGCACTAGTACCTGAGAGAGCAGTCTCACGAGCACCTGAGAGCACAGACGCACTGGCACCTAGAGCAGAAGCCTCACCGGCACCTGGGGCAGCAGTACCAATGCCCGGGTCGGGCGGGAAACATCGGTAACAGTCACCCTCCTCACTAAAAATATTGTACATTGGCACATTGAGGTTAGAGTAGCACTAAACCAGGTGGAAGGGATGAGGAGGATGAGAGGGAAGGTCCCAAGAGAGTCCCCAACCAAGGAAACCCAATGCCACACAATTCCCCTCTCCATAGGCAACCCCACTTTCACTTTTGTCACTTTCCCAACCTCCACAATCGACCTCAACCCAACTTGGCCACACTTGCCAACCTGGTTTGGTTTCTCCCAACCATTTGGCAGCAACTACAGTAGAAAAGACGAATTTCCCAACCCCCAAAAGTCTGTACCCCTTATGGAGTCAACCCCACAACTTCCCATAGTCACCACAACCAAATATGAAAAGCATGCGAACTTCAACGTTCGTAACTTTCTTGTTCGTGCTCCGATTGAAGTGATACTTGGTTCGTCGGAAAGCTCTTGAGCAGAGGAGTCACTTCAGATATCTGCTCAAGCCAAATAACATTCACACACACTCAAAAAATTCAAACCACTCAAACACACAAATTCTTGCACACGCTCACACCACGCATGCAACGCACGAACATATGATGGGAGGCAGACAGATGTGAATGCAAATGATAGCATCACATAACAGATTGGAGCCTTCCCATCCCAGCTGCTGGTGCCGATGAGACGAGGACGTATGCTGTGAGCAGAGTGGAGGATTGAGATGAATTGAGTGGAGGATTGAGGTGAACTGAGTGGAGGATTGAGGTGAATTGAGTGGAGGATTGAGATGGATCACAAAAACGAGTTGTTACTGCCAAGAACTGTGTGATTCACGAGTGAGGGCAGGAGAGAAGAAGGGAGGGAGGAAGAGAGTGCATATGGGTGATAAATTTAGACATGAGTAGTGCAAATGGCAGCTGGTAGCTGCAGGTTTGATTAAGGAGTGATGAAGATCAGATGGAGGTCTGGTTGCATTAATGGGTTTGGAGAAAAAGGCGATAGCCTGAACCATCCCAAGGCATGTGGGGCTAATTTTAAGCCTAAGTGTGTGAAAAAATCCCTCAAAGCATGTAGGTGGGAGCCTGGCATCAGCAGCTACAGACGCATTGACTCAAGGACCATAGGAGCTCATAGTCAACACGTGCTGCTGCCAACGAATTCAGCCCAGCCTAGGCCTTGCTACGTTTGCCCTCATAACTGCCAAAAGCAGTCCCAAGAACCGCAAAGATAGTTTGAACACCTGCCAAGGCAGCTTGAAAAACTGTCATGGCAGTCTCACGAAACCAGTCCAGCAGCCTCAGGGAGCAATGCAGCGGACCCAGTCAATGTTGGCACCGCAGTCACAGTGACTGTGAGGGACAGGGAGGATGGGCACCCCCCCATCCCTGTTGCTGGTGCCGAAAAGATGAGCTAAATTCAGCTGTGTGAAGCACTGTCAGGGCAAGAGACTGTTTGTGTAACGAATCGATCGTGCCAGGAACTTTGATGAAGGAGCAGTAGGAGGAAGAGCGGGATGAGAGGAGGGCAGGGAGGCAGGGAGGGAGGAGGGCAGGAAAGGAGGAGGCAGGCAGGGAGGGAAGAGGAGAGCGCTCACCTGCAGGTGGAGTTGGAAGTTGTCTGCTAGGAATATCCGGAGGTCATTGAATTCTAGCTCTCACTAACACGGCCTTAGAAGGGAAGCTGAGCAGAGACGTGATTGATCTCCTCACCGCCTCCCGCCTCTTAGATTTTACGAAAGCGCAAGGTGGGACAAGGCCGATCGTGGTAGGCGAGTGCCTGCTTCGCATAATCGCCAAGGCTGCCCTGTTCCAGACGGCGTCGGCTGCACGAGAGCACTTTGCCCGCCTTCAGTTCGGGTGGCAATAGCAGGGGGAATTGAAGCAGCTATCCGCACGGTGCGCACATACCTGGAAGTACAACCAGAAGCGGTGGAGCTACAGATTGACCTTGCAAACGCCTTCAATGCAGTCGAGATGAGGGCGGTGTTCGAAAGGCTGAGGAACGAAGCACCAGGGAGCCTCATCCCACTTGTCCGCCTCTCCTAAGGGCCCCCCTCCTCACTCTTCCTCAATCACGACTTTGGGTCGGCCCCCCTGCAGAGCGCCAGAGGAGTCTGCCAAGGGGACTTGCTTGGCCCCCTCCTCATTGCGGCGAGAATCCACCCGTGCCTCGTGGTACACCCACAGGTGGTCCTGCTCGCCTACGCCGATGACATCACCTTGCTCGGCAAAGCCACGGCCTGCACCGCAGCTATTGACCACCTCACGTCCACGCTCGCCGCCCTTGGCCTAGTACACAACCCGGCCAAGTGCGTGGCCTGGTCCGCCTCAATGATTGACCCCACCTCCGTACCGTCAGGCATCACCATCTCGGGAGAAGGGCTGAAGATTCTCGGCAGCCCCATCGGCATGACCCAGGGCTGCGCCAGCGCGGTTAGGGAGAGTCGCGGCGGCAGCTGAACCACTTCCCCTCCTAGCGCAAAAAGACCCCCAGATCAGCCTCCTCCTCCTCACCCGCTGCGTCAGCCGCCGCGCCTCGTTCCTAGCAAGAACAACCCCGCTAGAGGTATTGCCTGAAGCGGAGTGGTCGGTATGGGGGGAATGGCTGCTCAACACCTTTCTGGATGCTGCACACATAGTAACACCGAGGAGCGACGCAGAGAGGAGGCGGATACAGTGGCAAGCTGCGCTACCTGTGACTCTGGGAGGTTTGGGCATCACCGACCCTGCTGTTGACGGAAGTTATGCTTACCTCGCATCACTGATCAACGCCTCCCACCTCTTGCACTCGCTCTCTGATGCCCTGCACCCTGCAGTAGCTGCCCTCCTCCCCCTTATGGATCCCATACCAGACTCCGCGGCTGCCCTGCCTGCACGAATCGCACGTGCCGAGGCAGCCCTTCCCCCAGAGGCTCTGGAGGCCCTCTAAGTGGGGAAGGTAGACCCCAAAGGCCTGAAGCTACAGCAGTCCCTAGCCCTGGCGGTCCATACCTGCCGCTTCATCAGAGTGCTAAATGAACCATGGCGGATGCGCCCCAGCCCCCTCTCTAGTCATGCCCAGCAGATGCAGTCAGTGTTGGGCCCGGAAGCGAGGGATTGGCTGCTAGCGATTCCCCTCATCTCAGCACTCAGGATGGGCCCCTCAGCTCTCAACCGCAGCTGCCTTCCGCCTAGGCCCAAGGCGTTGTGACTGCCGATACAGCACCACATTCCCCGATGACCGCCTCCCCAACCATCTAATGCGCTGCGAAAAGGGAACTGGAGGACCGCCACACACCATGCCCTTCGGGATGAAATAGCAAGGATAGGGGCGGAAGCAGGCTTCACGGTTCACAAGGAGACCTACGTCTATTCTCTAATTTAAACCCTCAAGGCGGATGTCACCATCCGTCATCCCCTGACCAGAGAAGTATGGATGTGTGACGTAACCGTGACTGACCCCATCTCTTACCAGACGAGAATTGCAACCGTGCTCCAGGTTGGGCGGCTAGAGCGGCAGCAGCGAGGAAAGACGAGAAGTACGCGCGGCTTAACGCGTGGGTGGGCTTCCACAAACTAGCAGTAGAGACTTACCGACCCTGTACTTCAGAAATGGGATCCCAGGGTGAGGAAGCCGCCAGGATGGGCAGCCAGGGAAGCTTCTGAGAAGAAGCACCGCCTGTACGAGGGGCGGCCAGACTATGTGGGATTCTTCGGCTTGGCGGTGGAGACCTATAGCGCGCTAGCGACTGATACTGTGCAATTTCTCCGACTGCTGGCGGTTGCTGCAGCTAAGAAGAGATTCCGCCAGGGGCCCCTTACTACAACAGCCAGCCGCCTTACCGCACACTTTAGGCAGAGGTGGTCGGTCATGCTACAGCGCTCACAGGCCATTTCGTTCCTAAACAAGTCAAACATGGCCGCGGAGGCGGCATACCCCCAAGCACTGGTTGATCCCTGGGAACCAAGCTTGGGGGATCTCTACCAGGTGCTTGAGGACGACCTCGGTGGCGTTTAGACTCTGGTAAGTGAGGGGCAGTAGAGCAGCCTGAGAGAGCGGCCTCGGGTGATTTGGTTTGCTTCTCTAGGGTCGGGTTGCATCACTTCCTGATACGTCGGTGTGCCTCTCTTCTGGTGTATGCTTTGCTTCCTTGCGGACTTCTTTGCTTGCATGCCTAGTCCAGCATACCTGTTAGAAGCAGCCCGTGCCATGCTTGTACCCTATAAACAGTATCAATGAAGGACCGCTTGAGAGAGATGGTTTGGGGTTAGTCCTTAGCCGTTTTCTCCCTCTCCAACCTAGTCCCTAGTCCTTAGACGTTTCCAGGGCCGTTTCCCTAGTATAAAGCACCTAGTGAGGGGTCCTTTGAGCTTATTCTTCACTGGTGGATTCATTTTCCTCCCCAAAAACCGGCGGCTCGCGCCGGCCGCCGAAGGCGGCCGCGCGTGAGGTGTGACAAGGGAGAAAGCTCTTGGCAACTCAACATGGGGCAGTACAATATGCAGGCATAACACAACAGCAGCTACAACAACACCCCAGGGCGTGAGAACACCGCCATGGGGAAGCCCAAACCCAGACCTGCCACTAAGGGGGCTGGCAAGGGGAAGGCTACCGCTACTCAACGAGGATCCAACACAGCCTCCCGTCCAGCCAGCGCAGGACGGACGCGGCTACTGCTACAAGGTCGAGCGTGTCGTCCCGGGTAGAATGAGCAAGCCGCGCCAAAGCCCCAGGGCCGGGCCCGAGGGCAGCCCCAGGGGAGCCTGGCACATAGCCAATCAGGGGGAGGTAATGCTGCAGCTCCTCCACCACCGCCACCGCCGCTGACTGCTCCGCCGGCTGCATCGCCTCGATCTGCACCTCCTGCTGAACCAGCGTTACGTGCAGCTGGTCGAGCACGTACGACAGGAGTGTCATGCACGTCCCAACGTGCATCACGCGCTGCTCGACGCGAGTTGGGGGCTCGCCAGGAACCAAGGCAGGGGGAGGAGGCGGGCTTGGGGCGTGCAGGAGAGGTGACGGTGGAAATTGGGGCATTGGGGGACGAGGCGGCTGCGGCTGGAAGGGCAGGGGAAAACAGCGTAGCGGGGACTGTGCGGGTGGCCGCTGTGGTGCCCAGGACGGCGGCTGCAACGGTGCCTGAGGTATTTGCGGCTGCTGCGTCTGCAGTGGAGACGGTGGCGGACCCGGTGCATGCTGGCGGTTCTACCGCTGCCTTTGGCGGCGGCTCAACTTCACCCTCTGCCGCCCCACGGGTTGCGCAGTCGGAGGCTGAGGAGCCAAGTCCGGGCGCGGATCAGGAGCAGACCGCGGAGGCGGCGTTGTCAGCGTTGCCGGCACCTGTGACGGCGGCTGTGCTGGCGGCGGCGGTGTCTGCTGCCACTGGGAAGCAGGGCGGAGCCCCGACGGCGGAAGACGTGATGATTGCCGCAGCGAGCGCCGAAACGCCTGTTGCTGCCGTGGCCGCAAACAGGTAGGAGCACGGCCATGCGGAGGATGAGTTTCCAGGACGCGCGAACGGCGATTCTTCCGGCGCGGCATAGGCAAAGTCGAAGAAGAAGTTGCGTGCCCAGCCAGCGCCGAGACGGCCCGGAGCAGGGCTGGGACCTGGCCCCCCAGGACCCCTCCTAGGCTGGCTTCTGCAAGGGCAACCGCCATCAGAGCGAGCCATCGGTCGTCATCTGCGCAAACGCAAGAGGCAAGGGGAGGTCCCGGACTCAATGAGGTGGCAAATGAGACAACAGCAACCCACGAAGCAGATCAGCCGACCTCAAACCAGGACGATGGAACAGGCGTTCACTTACCGCCAAGTCCTGTTGCCCCAGCCACGGAAGGCGTTGCCACTCGTCGCTCGGCTCGGCTGGGCACTGTCACGTGGGGTCCTCCAAGGGGAGGCCGTACGCCGTGGATGCCGGCGGGGAGAGCGGGACTGGAGACCACAGCTCGATCGGCGCCAGTGGCGGGCCGGGGTCTGCGTGGTATGGGCCGCGGAAGGCGAGGGGGAGGGCGCGGGGGTGTCACTCGTCTGGGGGGAGTTGAGATCCAAGCCCGAACGGGCCCGTGGCGGGAACGTCACGACCGTCCATAAGTTTCAGGGGCTGCAGCCATTAGGGATGAAGTCGGCTCTGCTGAGGAGAACGGGGATCCAGAATTTATGTGTGGAGAAGAACCAGGCCCAGAGTCGGAAGAGGTGTCGCTAGAAAACAAGGAGGAAGTGGGGGGAAGGCGGAATCAAGCGGGAGGCACAGGGGAGGGGGTGGAAGGAGAAACATCCCACACTGTGGGAGCCACGGTTCCAGCCGCAGCAGTCGCCAACGAGGTGAAATCGCCAGCCGCCCTGGTAGAGGATGATGCCATCTGGCAGATGGCAGGCACGTGGACCTTGGACCTTCTCCAACGAATAGACCAACCGTTCCTAGTCAGACGCCTACCACCCCAGGTGTTAGACAAGTATTGCCTATGCCTCCTCGCACCACTCCTACGGCTGTCAACAAACCTAGAATGCCCAGGTGCATGGGCGATCCTGCTATACCTCCCGAGGCTGACGCTACGTCCGCCAACCGAGCCAGTCACTGGCAGCCGATGGGCATCAATTGAGGCTCGGCTGCATCAATTCCAGCTGGGAGACTGGGATGGGTTGTACGAAGCTGCTTGCACCATCCCCGACACAGGTGCTTCGCTTAGACACCAAAACGATGACGAGGGGGTTTGCGCGAGGGCAGAGGGTTTGGTTAAAAAAGGTAACATTTCGAAAGCAGTTGCAGCGTTACGCACGAGCCCCCTCGCTGAACCGAATTTGGCGACGCTGACTGCCCTGCGAGAAAAACACCCGTCTGCTAGCACTCCAATGCCAGCCTGGGTTACTGGGATAACCGACTCTGAGCTCAGTATCCCACTGGAAGCTCTTCGCGAAATTCTCGCGAAGTGCCCGAATGGGGTAGGAGCGGGGCCCTCAAGCTGCTGTTTCAAACACTTGAGAGACCCGGCCCTGGTGAATGAGAAGATCATTCTGCTCCTGGCAAACGTGGTGAATTGCCTCGCCAATTCTTTCCAGAGCCAAACAGTCCGCGATCTTCTACTCCCTTCCCGGCTCATAGCATTAGAGAAGCCCGGGGGAGGAGTTAGACCGATCGCGATAGGCGAGGCATTACTACGTGTGGTAGCAAAATTGGCGCTACACAGCTTAGGCCCGAAGATCCGAGAGTTCTTCCTCCCTGTTCAGTTCGGCGTAGCGGTCCCTGGAGGCGCGGAGTGTATTATCCACACGGTTCGCTCCCTCCTCAGAGATGACGAGACCCGCATTGCTCTACAGCTGGATGTGGAGAACGCTTTCAACAGCGTTGAACGAGCGTCTTTTCTTTCCGCCCTCTAGTGGTCTACTCTCAACCCGCTGCTCCCGCTCGTCAGGAACCTCTATGATGGCCCCTCTCGGCTTTTAGTGGACCCCCATCTGGAGGTGGAACACATCCATAGCTCCAGGGGTGTTCGCCAAGGGGACCCGCTGGGACCTCTTCTTTTCGCAGCGGCGATCCAGCCTATTCTGCTCGGCGTGGCTACAAGTGTCTCAGAGGTGGCAATAGTGGCTTATGCTGACGATATCACCATCGTGGGGCCTCGCGAAGCAGCGTGCGTTGCTTTCAACATGGTCGTTGCGGAGCTGGCTTCATGCGGGCTACGGTGCAACCTTGCCAAGTCGGCGGCATGGTGCGCAGGGCGGGAGGAAGGGGGAGACGGCCTGCCACACGGCCTTCCCATCCACCCAGGTGGTCTAAAGGTGTTGGGCAGCCCGGTTGGCAGCGATGCTTTCTGCACCGACCAGGTCCGGGCGGTGCTTGCGGAGGCGGCTGCGCCGCTACCCCACGTCTCCCAACTCAACCCGCAGCACGGCCTACTCATGATATCTCTGAGCATCTCCCGCCGCATTTCGTACCTACTTCGCACAACACCAGCAGAGGCACTGGCGCGTACGGAATGGAGGGAGTGGAGCGAGGCATTGGTGGGAGCAGGGCTCACGGCATCGAAGCTACAGATCCCGCCGAGCAAGCTAGAGCAAAGCCTGCTGTGGCGCCAGGCAACGCTCCCGGTCCGGCTGGGAGGCCTGGGAATCATTGATCCCATTTCCGAAGCCCCAGCCGCGTACCTAGCCTCGACTGTAGCAGCGCACATTCTACTGCAGCAGCTGAACCTGCCGGCGGACTACCTACTTCGCAGGGCCGGGGAAATACTTTCCCCGACTTGGACCCCACCTCCCCCCCGGGTGAACCCGCTGTCCCCGCTCGAGGCGAGGCTCCCAGCACAGGCAGCAGCGGTTCTACACAGCTACAGAGAGAACCCCAGGGTTATGGGCAACCTGCAGCTGGGGCTCTCCAAGGCCATAAATCACACGCGGGCGGAGGAGCTGCTGGCAGATACAGTAACCGATAGGCCGGGGGTGGACCGGGGCCTTGCCATTCGGCTCATCAGCCTGAAAGGAGTGGGAGCAGGCGACTGGCTCCATGCAGTGCCCATGAGGGCTGACCTCTCAATATCCCCTGGTCAATTCTCCTTGGCACTAGGCTTGCGCCTTGGCATGGAACTACCGGTAGCGGAGGTCTGCCCCTGCAAGAGATCCAACTCCAAGATAGCCGACAAGAGTCTGCCGAACCACCTGCTACGAAGTGCCGATGGTGGGGATGCTGTGCGCACCCACAATGCGCTGGCCTTCGCTGCTCTTTGCATGGCGCAGGAAGCCGGGTACAAAACCTTTCATGAGACCACCGCATTCTCTCCCCCTGTCCAGAACAAGCGTGCTGACCTGGCCGTCAGGGACCAAGAGTCAGGAGAGACTTGGGCGACGGACGTGATTGTGACTGACCCGGTCCTACAGAGGAGGGATGTGAGAGCACGGAAGCCGCCGGGATGGGCAGCTGAGGAAGCATCGCAGGCCAAGCACAGGCTCTACGAGGGGCGGCCTGGCTATGTGGGTTTCTTCGGCCTAGCGGTTGAGACCTACGGGGCGTTGGCAGCTGACACTCAACAGTTCCTCACCACCAGGAATGTTGGCTACTTATGCGGCGAAGAAGAAGTACCGCCAGGGGCACCTCACCACCACAGCTGCCCGCCTCAATGCACACTACAGGCAGCGGTGGTCGGTGATGCTCCAACGCAGCCAGGCGACGTCCCTCCTCTCCAAGTCAAACCGGGCAGCGGAAGCGGCATTCCCTCAGGCTGCAGCGGACCCTTGGGCGCCCCGGCTGGGAGACCTTTGGCAGGTGCAGGTGGATGAGTATGAGGAGCGCCAGGCTCCAGCTAGAGCGGCTTGAGGGGCTGGGGAGAAGGAAACTCGGTGACACGGGGGGGTTGGGTGGCAGCAGGGGAGGAATACAGGGGCGTGGTGAGAGTGAGGAAAGGAATACAAAGTTTGGGAGGCTTCAGGGGGGACAGGGAATTGGTGGGTGTCTCAGGGAAGGTGCGAGGAAGCTGCGGGGTGAGGAAGGATAAGGGGAGGTCTTATGATAGGGGAGGAACAAGGGATAGGTGGAATATGGAGTTCTCGGGGACTTCTGCTGCTGTGGACCGGGCTGCTCTGAGAGCTAGATGACCTTTGTGCTTTGGCTGGATGGGCTTGCTCAGTTTGCTTGTTTTTTCTAGCTTCCTGGTTGCTTCCATGTTTTAGACAAGCTAGTCACCACCACTTGCCATGCCTGTACCTTGTGACCCATATCAATACATGACTGCTTGAGAGAGAGAGAGAGAGAGAGAGAGAGAGAGAGAGAGAGAGAGAGAGAGGGGGGGGGGAAAGACAGACAGAGAGAGACAGAGAGAGACAAAGAGAGAGAGAGAGAGAGAGAGAGAGAGAGAGAGAGAGGGAGAGAGAGAGAGAGAGAGAGAGAGAGAGAGAGAGAGAGAGAGAAAACAACAACAACATTGGGGCCATGGATGTTGCTTGCAACAGCCCGTGTGGGGCACACCAATGCTTGCATTATGCAATATGCTGCATGGTGCTTCTCAGGAGAATGGATCTTGCACCAGCCCGTATGAAGCATGGATGGTATATAACCAGCCTATGCGAGATGTGCAACATGGGCATGGTAACCAGCCTATGCGAGATGGGCAACATGGGCATGGTACATTGAGCAGCCAATGTGAGGCATGCAACATGGGCATGGTACATTGAGCAGCCAATGTGAGGCACGCAACATGGGCATGGTACATTGAGCAGCCAATGTGAGGCATGCAACATGGGCATGGTACATTAAGCAGCCAATGTGAGGCATGCAACATGGGCATGGTACATTGAGCAGCCAATGTGAGGCATGCAACATGGGCATGGTACATTGAGCAGCCAATGTGAGGCACGCAACATGGGCATGGTACATTGAGCAGCCAATGTGAGGCATGCAACATGGGCATGGTACATTGAGCAGCCAATGTGAGGCATGCAACATGGGCATGGTACATTGAGCAGCCAATGTGAGGCATGCAACATGGGCATGGT